ACAATATTAATATGAACAGTAATATGTCTTTGGGTCAGACAGCTGTTTCTGCCTTATTTTGAAAGTATTCGCTTCAAAGTTTAAATCTGTTTTACAGGAACATTTTGATCAAATTTGTTAACTTTGAATATATTCAGCGTCACTGTATAAAATGCTAATTCAGCACCAGAATACTTGAAGAAAGATGACATTTTAAACACCTTTCAGGTCTGAAATTTGTAGGTTTTTTTTGCAGTTATGTCTTGCTATCATTCTCGTACACACACACACACACACACAAACACTCTCTCTTTCCTCTTGATCGTATTCCATGGTGTCCAGGAGAGTCGGGTCTGATCCTCTCAGTGTTTAAGGCTCTCATCTCCCCCACGTCTACAACGGACACACACACATACACACTAACACACACACACTCCAGGCTGCACGGGCTGGAAAGCTCCATCCATGTCATCGGCATTACCTCGAGCCTTGATGCTGCATTTGTGCTAAGCTAAGCTGTTTGGGCCTCTCTGAGCACGATAGCCAGAGTCTTGAGTGTGTGTGTGTGTGTGTATACTTTTTCGTGCATCCGTGCATGTTACGGTGCGTTTGCATGTACGTGACTATCTTGCACGAGTGTGTCGGTCCGGTGTGTCTGTGCTTTCCTGCTCGTTACGGTGTGTTTGCATGCGTGTGCTGCTAAGCATGTACATACATTTGTGTCAGCACGTGAATCTGTGTGTGTGTGTGTGTGTGTGTGTGTGTGTGTGTGTGTGTGTGTGTGCGCGCACACACAAAAGGCGATATTGCCCCCTTGCCCTCCGTCCCCCTCCCTCACATCTCACATCTTTAATCCATTACAACCAATCCAGGATGAAATAGGATGCAGAACATGTGTGAAACACCGACACCGGGAAATTCAGCCAATTTTCAAAGTCAAAATACAATTATGTGAACAATGAAAGAGAATATGCATGAAAAAAAGAAGAAAAAAAAAATCCCCCGGCTTATGAAGATAAGAAACACAGGAAGACATCCAGCGAGAGAGAGATACGTATTCACAAACCGATTTCCACGCCGGCCGTGATTTCCCAGCGAGCTCACAAGCTGTAAGCAAGAGCATCGATTCCGCCTCGATGATCGCATCAAGGTGGCGTATCGACAGCGTCGTGTTTTACTCTCCTCTGTGCTCGTCCTCCGCGGCCTTAAGAGGAATAATGGATATGTAGGAGAGGTATTGGCAGGGCCCGGACCGGCCTATTGACGATCTGTCAGCATTGATTACTTAGTCAGGCCGCGAGAAGAAAGGGAGAGACGCATAGACAGAGAATGAGAGAGAGAGAGAGAGAGAGAAAATAGATCAAATGTCAGGTGCTAAAAATAATGTGTGTGTTTATTAGGGTCACTGTCTCATGAATGATTCCCCTCTGTGTTTAGTGTGTGCAGGAGTGTGTTTATAATAATCCATGTAACACCAAAGTAATAACTCTCTCCTCTTTAGTATGTGTGTGAATATTTTAGTGTCTATTAGGCCCGATGTTACAGCGAGGTAATGATTCTTCCATCTTGCGCGCGCTATCTCTTGGTGTGTGTTGTGTGTGTGTGTGGTTACAGCGGTAGCAGAGGGGTAGGCGGTGATATAATTGTAAGCCGGTATTGATTGGGCCCCCTCTTGTTATTGATGAGGGAGAATTTAATTCAACCAACTCGTTTGTCAACATGACACTGCCATTTAACAATGAACTCTCTCTCTCTCTCTCTCTCTCTCTCTCTCTCTCTCTCTCTCTCTCTCTCTCTCACACACACACACACACACACGCACACACACGGAGCAGACAGATAGAGAGCAATAAGATCTAATTCTGCGATAGACTTCCCGCACTGAAAAGGATGCGTTCACTTATAGCAGTCACATTCTGGTTTTCTTGAGATATGTTTGTATTTTTTTTTGTAAAAATAGTAAAGCCTACTGATGCGATACTATAATACAAATGTAATTTTAAAAAAATATGTTACTTTATGCGACAAACTTTTGATTCCATGCTTTTATAGGATATAGATGTCTTAATTGGAGACTGTGTGTGTGTGGGGGTGTGTGTGTGTGTGTGTGTAGATTGCAGTTGAACCAGTCATCTCATTATAAATCATAAATAAAGTCTCTACGCTGACTATGAAATATTTAATTAAATATCATTATAGTTTACTATAGTTTCAAAGCTGGATACAGAAAACAACAGGTTTGGGATTAACGATAAAAGGGCGGAATCTATTTATGGCTCCTTTTATACAGCTGTCTGTTCGTGTGTGTGTGATCAGAAGTCCGCTATGGCCCATAAACCCACGATGTCGGACAAAGCAACCGCAGCAGGTTGCAGAGAAGTTATAAAAGGATAGATATAACAGAAGGGGAAAAGAACATATTGCTATTGATGAGGCCCTCCGTGCGCCATATTTTTCACCTCTCCTTCAAATCTGCGCACCCCTCCACTCCCCCTCACTCCCCTCCCCTCCCCGCGACGGACGCACAAAACACACTATATTCTACAAGAAATAATTGCTTTTGTCTGGAAGGAGTTTGGATCGGGGCTCCTCTGCGCTCGACCCTGGCGCGGAGAGGGGGGCTCTGGAGGGACAACCGGTCGCTTATACGGCTCCTCCTCCTCCTCTCGCGCCCTTTCTTTTTCCTCCCTCTCTTGCTCGTTGGACACGCGGATGTCATCTGTCAATGGGGAGTGGGATTTTTTATGACGGGGGGTCCCTTTGTGATGTGACGTGTGTCTGTGCATACATGACATCAAAAGCTACAGCGGGTAACGGACATGTTCCGAAACAGGACACAGGTTTGAGAAGAAGTACTGTAGTAGCAGCAGTAGTTGCAGTGTATACATAGACATAACGGCATTAGTAGCACTAAGAGTAGGCCTACTATAGTTGTAATAGTAGAAGCAGGAGTAACACGTTATAAAAGTGGTATTACTAAAAAGAGGAGTATAGTTGGAGTAGAGGCTGCAGCAGTAGTGGTCAGTCACAGTGTTAGTAGTATAAATACATATTAGTAGTATATACATGTAGACACATTATTAAAGTGGTATTACTAAAAGAGGAGTAGTAGTTGGAGTAGAGGCCATGGATCAGGAAGCTCCTGATGACAGTTTATATTTGACGTCTCCTTTCTCTCCCTGCATAGACATTAGCATTGGCAAAGAGCCCGAGGCCTTTCCATATACGAGGGCCATAATTGATCGATAACTTATTAACAGCTCAGTCCCACCTCAGAGTGTGCGAGTGTGTGTGTGTGTGTGTGTTGTTCGCTCTATTTTCTTTTATTGACTGCGATATTTAGCCTATAGATTTTTCTATTTAAAAAAATCCATGTGAGCGATAATCTGGAGTGTAAATGCAGAGCCCAGATCGGGGCGGCGCGTTTGACAGCCGGGTGGAGCATGGAGAGGAGAGGACTGCTGGCCGGGAGGCAACCTTCCGTCGGACACACACACACACACACACACACAGGTTCCACTCACCACGGCAACTACAACCTTTTCACCGACCCTTTAATAGGAAAAACAGTCAATTTAGATTCAGCGCAACTGACATTTTACGCACATTTTACGCACGCACGCACTCACGTAGCCTTCCCGAGCCCCAAATATAATTACTAATTTAACACCCGTGGCTCTTGCAGGCTTTTGGTTATTCACCTCTGTGATGGGGGGGGGGGGGAAGAAATAAATTAGTTGAGTGCTGCAGGTGACCTTGCGTTAGCCAGACCCACGTAAATCTATATGAGAGGGAGAGATCCACCTGCTGAAATATACATCAAAGGTCCCCCCCTCCTCTTTGAATTCATGTCTGCACATTGTGAAGAGGCGATCGATTTTTTCGGAGGCCGGCGATGATGTGATTATTGGCTTCATTATAATGAAGTAATCAGAGGTTCAATTGGCCGGATCCGTGATCGTCGTGTACGAGATCACAGTAGTCAGAGAAAGGGCGCGTGTGTGTGTGTATTTTTTTAAACACTAGTAATTCAACATGGACTCTTGGAGAGTGAACCCGTTTATGAAATATATTGTACATACATGTGTATCATATGTCAAACTTTAATACAGATCAGAAACAATAAAACGTTCAAATGTTCAAATGTGCGCTGAAATAAAATGGACAGAGAAAGTGGGGCCGTGTGTATGTGCTGCGTATATGTGCATATGTGTCGGGGTGAGGGGGTAGAAGGAGATGGGGGGGGGGGGGGGGGGGGAAAAAAAAAAAAAAAAAGGGGGGGGGGCTGGGTATCTCTGTCTGTCTCCCCGGACGCAGCGCTTCGCCGTGCCAGAGTGCGTTCAGGCTGCGCGGCGAAGGACCGAAAACCACCGGGGTTCCCACAATAAACGGAGGGAACGCGGATCCGTGCGCACACACACGCGTAGGATACACACAGAAGACGGGTGGAGAGAGAAAGAGAAAGAGAGAGACACGGAGCAGAGCCAAAGAAAAGACACTACAGCGTAAAAAGAAAGAAAAAAAGGGGGTATCATCTCGGCCCCCCCCCCCCCCTCCTCTTTTTTTCCCTGCTTCATTGGAGGAGGAAAGCAGACGACAGGTGTACTTATTGATATGGATTTATTCATTTATTTATCTATCGATTTGTTGCTGTAATTAGTGACCCGCGGTATAGAGAGCGAGAGAGCGAGAGAGAGAGAGGAAGAAACAGCGAGGGGAGGAGAGGGAGGAGCGAAAGTCAGACAGGAGGTGCCCGCGTAGCCTTACTTTATGATTTGATTATTCCATCTTTTTTACCGAATAATCGCTTCCCGTTTTCTTATCGTGTCGCTTTGTGTGCGTGTATTCTCCAATAAACCAGCCAGCTACTAAACCAAATCTTTACGAGAACCAAAAATTAAAGAAGCAACTCTACCCGGACAGTCCCCCCACCCCCCACCCCTCCTCGTTTCTCTGTACCGGAGGATTCACCGGTTGGACAGTGTGTTTTTGTTTGAGACTTTTCATGCCAGTGCCGGGGAGGAGGAACCCATCTTTTTTTTTTTGCGCAACCCCAAAACCAAAGCAGACCCGGGCCGAGGAGGAGAGACGGAAACGGAGAGCCGCCGCGGTCTTTACGCACAACTGTCTGGACACAATAAATGGAGTCCAGCTGTGTCTGCGCTACACGTCCAATGGAGAGCGGCTAAAACGGGAAGCACCGACTGCGCTACATTCACGTGGGTGCGATGAGAACGGGTGTCAGCCACCGTCCAGCCCGTGTTAGCCTGCATACGGATAACAGCTTTACATCGTCCACTCAAAGCTTATAGCTGCGCGCCCCGCACCTCGCCGTGTATACGTGCGTGCGTGTATCTGTGTGTGTGTGTGTGTGTGTGTTGGACTAGTTGACTCCGAGAAGACGCAAGTAAAGGGGAGACCGTGATATCCGTGTGGAATCCCGGAGCCGCACAAATCTCTAAACAACAACAACATTCAGATGATCTGAGACACGGACTCGATCCACGGAAGGAAAAAGCCAAATTGTTTTTTTTAAACCATCCAAACGTCGTTTACAACCGGCTCTCCACAAACCTGGAAAGCATACGAAGAACTGGCCAAAGATCAACGGAAGCACGACGGATGAGAAAATAAGAAAAGTGAGAGTAGAATAACAAAAAAACAAACTAACCCCGAACCCCAGGTCGACAGAGGACCATGTTTGTCCCCCTGCCGGTCCCCTTCGTCTTTCAGAGAACAGCGTCCGACTTCAGCGCCTGGAGACTCAAGTCCTCGCTGGCTCCGCGGTCCAGCCCCGGTAAGAGACTCTTTTTCCTACTGGGCCCTTTCTAATCTCCACTGTGCACCCACACAAAGAATAAAGTCCGTTTTTTAATCTTTAGTTAATCTCTTTTTATTTCTAACCCGGTAGATTTAATTACACACAACATCCCAATCTTATCTGGTTTATCTGAAATGTAATAACGGGCCAATAAACTTGGATAAATCTCATGATTCCATTGATATTTTGTATCCTCTGTATATTTTACAACATACAACTCACATCAAGCATTCTTTTCCATTTATATTTTCAAGTCATTTTTTTTACAGCTGAAAGATATGCACCCCAAAACGTAATGTCTTAAAAAAATGCTTCAGATGTTATTTCTTTAAGAAAGAAAGAATCTGCTAAGCTGTTTAAATTGATTTGTATGAAATTCTAATCATCTTCTCCCCAAAATCACTAATGCTCTTCTTGTGATTAGTTTTATTCTGCTTTGCTCCAAATTACACAAACACGTGAAAAGGTGCATCCTAAGTTCAATTTTCTGAAGAAGAATCCAAAGACTAAATATTTCAGCCCCAAAAGCACTTTTCTTTTCCTGTTGCCATCTTTCCTATTGTATCTCCTCAGAGAGAAATTAACTGCATTCATCATTAACAAGGCAGAGAGTTTAATTGAGATACTTACTTGAATCCAAAATGTGAAACGCGCAAAATTGGATGCATGAATATTCGGCTCATTAGCATCCATCACACAGAGAGGCACCCTCGGCTTCTCCTCTTTCATTCGTGGCAATCCATCCATCTCGACCTTCATTCCATCTGCCTCCTCTCCTCTCCTCTCCTCTCCTTCAGTCCTCCTCGGCCAGGTCGGGCTGGAATATTCACGGTCACCTATCGATTACTAGGTATTGATCTCCGACAGGGGGCCGCGCTGAGAAAACAGGAGTACAGTAAAGTTGGCTGAGGGAGAAAGTTTGTCTTTACTGGAGATGACGTGATTGAAATTCAAATTTCTGTCAAAATAAAGTTAACATATTTATCACACAAAAAACAAACCTTAACTTTAATGATGATGGTGACACTAATATTCCTATAATTGGCCCATCACTGCGGGGACTCGCAGCGAGTTTGTCAATCAATAGTTGGTTATAAGGAGCATATCATGCCTCTATGGGCCTTAATACCCTGTGATCACTCTGATATTGCTTTAGTGACTTGCAGTGTGGTCAATAAAGGGCAGCAGTGCTCTTTATGTATTTTTATTTCCATCTCACCATAATGTTCCTGTAATATTCCTAAAGGGCTGTGTCTGTGATATTATTATTATTATTATAGCCATAATAGAGCCGACAGTAACGTGTTTATACAAAAAAAAAAACTATAGCACCAGATGGACACGAAAAGAAAATGTATTCTTCTGTCAGTATATTAGCTTTCCTTTTCACTGATGTCGTTTTCTTCTTTCCACCTGTGGGACTTCTAACACTTAGCAGAGTGACCTGTTTCAACACAGACCGTATGCGTGTGCTGAAGTGTGTCTGCATGTTTAGAGCGGCGTGCCTCCCCCCACATGTCCCCTGCTGACTGTATCCATCCAGGAGGAAATTTCCAAACGACAGATGTGGTGGGGGGGTTAGGTGTGTACGGCGAGCCGTGCCGTGCAGGGCTAACTTAGGCTATCACCTAGGTGTCAGGAGGAGAAAACCGGTCCAGGCTTTAATGAGAGCTTCTCCTGGAGGCTCTGACATGGTGGAGAGGGGGGAGGGGGACAATATCTATGTCGGCCCTTAAAGAAATGGAAACGAAAGACACAACGAGAGAAGGAGAAGTAGAGGTGGAGGCTAGGTCGGGGGGGGGGGGGGGGGGGGG